TAATACCACATAATGAAATGTATTCTTATAACAATTGTGTTAATTTATTCGTACATTCAGGTGATTCAAAACGATAATTTATGTGCATGGAGCATGTATACATCAAATAAGTTTATGAATATTTCTGCTGATAAGATTGATTGAAAACATACTGCAGCTGAGCTAATATTTTTTATAATAAAAAACAAATTGGTATTTAGAGACAAAAATATCAACATCACAAATATGTTTATAGATTTTATAGTATGCCCTCTGTGTCCAACATGACAGGTGTGACATAAGCATTTAAAAAAATAAGATTCTTCTATTTCAAGTCTCGTCTTAATACCATATAATGAAATGCTTTCATAAAAACAATTGAGATATTTTCAATAATGACTATTTTCAATAAAAATTTCACCTCTAGAAAATAAAAAAGAAAGTTGTTATTTTCCTCTATAAATTGTTTACCATTTTCTTTCTTTTAGTATTGCATAAGGTGTGTCTATAGACATAATTCTCTATCAATCAATGTATTTGTTGGTTTAAATTTGATTCTAATTGCGATTCCCTTAAAATCATATTCTTTATCATGGTTACATTATGATGCATAGTATCAAAAGTTGAATTGTCATGCACATAAATTAATGTAAATTTTTTTAAAATTAATAATCATTATTTTTTTACAGAAATGATGGTAGTATAGGCAATATATCAAGTTCACAACCAACCTATCTCAGTACAACTAACTCTACACCAGGTGACAGTGGGTCCAGTATTGATGACCTTGTACAAGGCGGCGTCAGCTTCTCACAACCTGTGCATACGGATGATATGCTGTTAGGCAGCCAGTTACAGTGCACACCGGGTGGATCACAGGTGAGTCATGTGATGGTCACATGGCACAAATTAGCCAATTACAATGCACTCCTGGTAGATCATGTGATGAAATCATGCCACAAACCAGCTAATTACATTGCACTCCTGGTGGATCATGTAATGGTCACATGCCACAAGTCATATGATAGAAAGCAGCCAATTACATCATACTCCTGATATTACTCTAGATAGATATTGACTCATTTCCAGAGAACATCTAGAAATTGATAATTTGGTGAAAAAAATAACTGTATCCTATTTGTTCTATTAGAAGCGTACTTCCAATAGAAGTGCATATTAACCAAAAAATTGCATTGCCCGTATACTGAATTATTTTTACCATAGGGATATTCCTGTAATGTATGTAAATGCATGTGCTTCCAAGTAATTGGTGAACAAAATGTTAAGATTTGTACATTTTCTAGCTTTAAATGGCAGCATTTTATCAGAACCAAACTATTGCCTCTTCCACTAATTAACAAGGGATTATCTATAGTGAATTTATGTGCTAGTGGCTCAACGTTGTCTGAAGTTAGCCCTGGTTTATTAGTGCCAAGCTGTAATATTGTTGTTGACTGGGAATTATTGTTTAAATAGTCAGGACCATGTCAGGGCTCATTCCTATCTGAATTCAACCCCAAAAATAGAACTCTGTTTGAGCTGAACACTTTTACATTTACATTTCATTTTTGCTGGCTCAAGCTCAGATAAAACATCATGTATTGTCATTTTAACCACCCAAGGTATGTTTATTTGGTCATGGTCTCACGCTAACATTGCAGATAAAGTGTGCCCTCTATGCCAATTTTACATCCCACCCTTTTGTTCTATGGTTATATAAACCATCAAATCTGACTGGGCGTATGTTTTATAGACACACCAATCAGATTAATGTACAGTATGTATAATTAAGTACAGCTTCATGTAAGAGTACATTTATATCTGGTTCCAGAATCATGCAATTCAAACAATGTATACATAAACACACCACTGAATACTTTTTTTTGTTTTCTTACCGTTAGACACCAATGCAGAGACTGGTGAAACGCATGACTCGCTTCTTCACTAATTTGAACACAGACAAGTCACTGAAGTCTGTCGTTGGGGTACTTGAAAAGTTAGGGTATACTTGGAAGAAAAGCACCCCTAGACAGGTAAGAATTAACCCTTTAGGAACCAAAGTCTACTTTCAAAAAATAAAAACTGTATTTATTTATTTTTTTATTGGATTTTCTGATCGACTTTACAGATTACAGTAACAACCACAGATAAACGCAAGAATCAATTGACATTTAAAGTTAACTTCATGGAAATGGATGATAAAGTAATGGTTGACTTCAGACTTTCACGAGTAAGTTGTTGTTTTTTTCTCTGACACTCTCACACTCTCTGGTGACTTTGCTATGTACTAATTTTCACCATCTCATACAAGAAGTTTTTGATGTGCAATGTGTCATTTTTTTTAAAGTTACTTCATACATTTATTGTGCCAACATTGTGCTGTAATCATATTTCTGTAGTGTAGTTATCGGTTTCTCAACACTCATTACTTCTGAGTCACACGTTCATTTCGTCATGCTATTTTAACCACCATAGTGGTGAACTACAATTACTATAATATAATAACATAATTTGATTTGATTTGAAATGCTATAGCCTAGATATTGGCATCCATATTAGTTCATTAGTTCCATCTACTTCATGTAGAATATGTAGATGTCTAATTTGTCAATTGCTAGGGTATATAAGTATGCCATGTGCTCAATGATGCTTTATGTTTCCAGGGTGACGGGTTAGAATTCAAGAGACAGTTTCTGAAGATCAAAAGAAAGAGTGCAGAGTTCATCAGCAAAGCACCTCCATCATGGCATGTGTGAAAAACACAAAGAATCCAATGTACAGACTTGTGTAATAGTATCCATGGAGATCAATATCATTGTTTTCAATAAAAAAGATAAATTTCTAGGCATGGGTCTTAATTCATCAGAAGACAGGTATTGACATAAATGTTTATAATATAACAGGAAAACCTTAAAAAAATAAGTTAAACTTTCAGGTGAATAAATCAAACTTGTAAATGTCCATAAAACGTAGAGTACATCCTTAATCATTTACAGGTTTTTGTGGCATTTGTCTAAGTAAAAACCACCTTACATTTCATCCTTGTGACTTGTGTTGCATGGTGTCATATGGGTCCCATGCAACATATTTAAAGCGGGACAGTCGTCACCTGTGCACGCACAGGAATTGAGTCCTAAGCGGCAATAACAACACACGCTCAAAACGCAAAGGCTCATGGGTAGACGCTTGTTTGTAAACAATGACACGCTATGGCCATCTGACGCATGCGCAGGTGACAACCCTCCCCCTTTAATGGTTGTGTAAAATACCTCAAAATTGGACTACATGCACCTACACTAGTTCTCCAAGTATATATTTGCTTGTACTATAAAAAGCTGTGGTTTCTATTAAAATGGTACAATGCAACAGAAGGGATGCAGCTTTTATTAGAACATCTGCCCATATAAGAAATGGTGAATTTTTTCACTTTTAGGGGTGTCGCCAGTAATACAACTTTTACAGTAATGCTACTTTTTGCAGCTTTGATTAAACTGCTGAAATTGTGTGTGTATGCTACTGATGACAAAAAGGTGCATTTATTTGACTGTTCTATTAAACTTTAAGAACAGAAATTTGTTGTGTTGTGAATTTTTTCCTGAATTTATTCAGGTAGTTACATGATTGACTGACCTGTCTTGACCATAACAACCTCGGTCAATGTGACATCAGAGATGTGAAAATGAGCGTTTTCTAACAATTTTGCCAAATGATGTTGAAGTGAACAATTTCCACTTCTAGAAGACCATATTTGCTTTAGAACGAATTTTGATTTTTTGGTAACATTCTAAAATATACTGGGTTAGTAGGCAGAGATTTTTTTAATTATTTCTAATGAGTTGAACTCTTATACACCATGAATTAACTACGGTAAATGTAAAAAATGACATCCAAATTTATAATAGTTAGAATTTATTTCATTAATACAATTACGTCATTCACTGCATAGAAGAAAGTATATGAAAGTATATAGGCTGTCTCCATGACTACCATCGGAACTCAAATGCACAGACTGGACTGTACACGTACTTAAGGCCTTCCCACAGCCCTCCAAACTGATTTACTTGTATTATTCATAGATTTTTCAGTCTGGCATTTACCGCTAGTCTGTCTCCACAGCATCTTTGAGTATGCCATTTTGTCCATGCGCAAACCGACAAAAGTTATTATTGTTCCAAAACAAATACAATTACATAATTAGGTCATATTGTTATGTAAATTAGTCACCATGCTGTCCACAATTATTTATAACACTGAAAAATGGTTTAAATATTTTTTGGGGGATGAAGTACACTGATGTCAATAAGACCGTTATAGGCAACAAGCATATCAACTTTAGTTTATTTAAATTGGCCATGCAAAAATAATGTTTGTTACACCTCAAGACTCTCGTCAAAATTATATCAAACAAGACCTGACCTCATTTTAAACATAGTGTTTCAAACTCCTGGTAGTTAAGATAAAATCAGAGTGGGTTTAGTGTGGTCAGCTTCTACAGATGCTGGGCATTATAGAATTTGTTGTTGATGGGGGAATTATATTGACCTTGTAATAGTACTTGTATAATGTACGAGTATATACAACATCAGAAATATACATGTACTCTTGGTCAAGCAACTCATTTAAATGGTATTTTACACTTTTTTTAGCTCCGCTGTCGAGCGGAGCTTATCATATGAGTGATTGTCCGTCATCGTTCGTGTCAACTTTTTTTTTTTTCCCCCAGACTCCTTCATGAAAACTACAAGCCTGAATGCTTTGATAGACCTCTCTTAGATTTGTTCATTTCATGATGATATCTTTAATTCTCTAATTTTGGTGAATATTTTTGGTGAAAAGTGATATTTTCGACTTCTTGTTAAAAACCACAAGTCCGATTGCTTTGATATTACATATATAGGTACTACATGTGGACCTCTCTCAGATTTGATCTTTTCGTGATGATATCTTTAATTCTCTAATTTTAATGAATATTTTTGTAATTTTTTGTAAAAAGTTGTACTTTCAAATTCTTGTTGAAAACAGCAAGTCCGAATACTATACATATTGTTCATTTTCTAATGATATCTTCAGTTATTGAAATGTGCATCGCTAACAGCGGAGCTATCTCAGCCGACAGGCTGCTTGTTTCTACACCCATTACTGGCATCCATTTTTTTTTTATCTATATCCATGTGACCTAATGTTCTAACCCTTGGTTTATTCTATTAAATCCACACACCTTAAAAGATGTATTGTATGTCATTTGTTCATGAATAATTCAAAACACACCACTCTACTTTTTGTTTTCCCCCCAGATCTTTGATCAAAAATCGTAATAGCTCAGTCGTTAGAAGCTTTACTATCTGTGGTTGATGTGGGTTCAAAGCCCTTCCTTGGCTAATATTTTTAATAGTTGAGGAAGAATACCTGTCTCCTCAACTCAAGACATTGCAACCTGACTAAAGCTGTCAGATTTACAATAGCAGTTTACAAAATATACCAGTTATGTCGCAGTCAGTTTTCAAAATACACCACGATAAGTAAAAAATTTACCAAGAACTTTAAAAGGTCCTTGGCCCTGTGATGTCTACTAAGAGATAGAATTCCTATTGGGGTTTCAAACCAGTGTGCCCAGCCCCTCTTAAACTGATACCATGTACTACTGAAGTACAATTTATTGCGATGCAATTAGTTGTGCTAATTCCCTGGAACTTCACCGACACCAGGAGAAATTGTACATTCATACAATGTTCTTGAATTTTTTTTTTACTATAGTTGTGAAATTTGTAATTTGGTATAAATTAAATTCACATTATATAAACAAAATAAATGCAAAACAAAGGAAATCAAGGGCTACACCATTTTCGTTTGTGCCTTGAGTCACCTATACATTTGCATACATTTATTTTGTTTTTCTTAAAGGGCAGTGATCATCGCACAACACATGTTAAATTTCATGTAAATAAACAATATAATTTTCATGTGTTGTGTACAACGCTACGAGTCCCATATTAAACAACATACGGCTTGACAATTGCCGCCCTTTAAAAACTGACTTTATTAGCCGACTCAATTTGAATTTTGGCATTCTATTTTGACTCTTATAAAATCTGTCTCGTTAGAGGGCACACTATCAACTACATCAGGCAGAGCATTTAATGACTCAATTATTGCAGACTAGCAGGTAATATAATTTGTATGCATTCATGAATTAAACAGCACATGCAATAGAACCTGTGTATATTACCTTATCTCCACAATCGTAAACCCCTAGTGGGATTTCTAATACCTATTCCCTATAAAAAACTGTGAAAGATTGAATTTTCACTATTTGGTCAGTCCCTCTGTGGTTCGGTCCAGGTTTTTTGTGTTTATTGTTACATTACAAAAACTTTTAAATCAGGTCTTTGAATTTGCACGTCTTCTCGTTCTAATGATAATAATCCTTA